TTTACTCGCTTGAGATATCAAAGAGATTGTCCGATGATTTCCACATTCCGTTGGGTCACCACAGGTATTTTGTTGTTGTTATATGCTGTCAAGTCAGTTCTGACCCATAGCGACCCTGAATAGGGTTTTGGAGGCTGTAAATCTTTACGGGAGCAGAAAGCCTCATCTTTTTCCCACGGAGCAGCTGGTAGTTCCGAACTGCTGACCTTGTGGTTCACAGCCCTATTCATAACCACTACGCTACCAGAGCTCCTACTAGCATTCAGATAATTGGTACTTACATCTAGAAATAGCATTCTTGGCTTAGTGAACAGTGGTTATTGTCACAGAATTGGGAACACTATCCTGATGTACTGCACAGGGCACTGAAGTGTGATTTTTGAGGTCCTTCCTGTCAGCCCCTCAGTTTCTTCAAGAGAATCTAGCCTGTGCTCTGATCTCCCCTCCCAGTATCAGAGCTCAGTATGCTGGGACTTTTGGTAAGATAAGCTTTCAGGCCATGTCATAAATGGTATGCCGGAGTCCAAGGTCCTCTAGAAGTTCCTGTTTCATGTTGACTTGTGTGAAGCTGGGGGTTGGGGAGGGCTGGGCTGTTGTGTGTGTCAGCCTCTTTATACTTCCAGCTCCTCTTCTTCTAGAAATTTCCTGCTCTACATGATCCTGGATATCAGGGCTCAGGTCTCCTTTCATGTCTGTTTGTCTCAGATTGCCTAGCTTGTAAATTGTCAGTACATATTTGACAGATTATTGAATGTACAGGAAAATTAATACTTTTAGTCTTGACATTTTTCAGAGATTTTGTGTGGATTGACTGATCTGGGGACACCTTCCCTTTATAAAGGACAGTCTATTTTCTTCATGTGTTGGGACTGTGTGAATCAGAGGTTTCATTTTAGCTGTGAGAATGAAGTGAAACAAAATAAATTTGTGAAGGCCAGTTCCTGGCACCTAGTAGGTATTCAGTAAAATTTTGTTTTATTGAAACAAATTTTTATAAAATTTCCCAGGCATTTATTAGTCCATGAAATTTTCATATTGTGAAGGATTGGGGTTGGCGGAGGTGGGTGTGTATGTGTGGATGTGTCAATATGTAGACTGAGCCTCATGTTGTTTCTTATCCTGGTATTTACTTTTGGGTTAAAATCAATGTAAATATTTCCATTCCTCTGTGCGCATTTGCAGGCAAGGACCTTTTGGGTAACAATGTTGGTTGTGTTAAGACATTCTAGGTTTGCCCACAAGGAGCTCTGGTAGCATAGTAGTTACGAATTGGGCTGCAAACCACAAGGTCAGCAGTTCGAAACTACCAGCTGTTTCGTGGGAAAAAGATGAGGATTTCTGCTCCCATAAAGATTTATAACCTTGGAAACCCTGTACAGGGTCTCTGTGAGTCGGAACCGACTCCA